GCAGGGGCGCTGCGTCTGTGCGAGCCCACACTGGGCCACAGCACAGTGTCTTCAAGGGCGCCTTAGCAGGCCCGCAGCGCAGCATTGGCGTCCCACCGCTTCCGGCCCAAGCTCTGTCTCGGAGCATCCCGAACCACGAACCATGCACAGTGCGTTCCAGGAAATCTCCGGGTCGGGGCCCTGCTTCTCTGGTTGTCCCGGGTGGACGCGATGCTACCAGCTCTCTGCCAACCACGGTCCTCAAGGTGAATTCACTCTGAATACGCCGCAGCTTCGGAAGTGAGTCTCAGGGCAGGTGCGTTGGCAGCTCGGGGGGAGGAGGGGGGGCGGCATTGCATGGAGAATCACATCTCCCTGAGTCACCAGGATGAGCTCACCGGCGTGGCGCACACCGGGAAGGACACGGTAAGGGAGACTGCCTGTAGGTGTCATGGCCTAGACGTGAAGGGACAGACGTAGCTTTCAGAATCTACACAGATGCGAAGAGCGGACGAGCAGGCTAGCAGTACTGCGCAGATCCCTTCAAGAAATGAGTAATGGAACAACACGAGGTGAGATTTGCAGAAAGAAAATGCCTCCTCCCAGGAAAGGGTAGCTTGGACCTCCAAGATGGATCCACACTGGCTTCCCTTCCTAGAGATTCTCTCCACAAAAGAGGGGAGATAGGCCTTTATCCTCAAAAGCACTTCCGCCTGTAGCTTTCAGAGTAGGGTAAGAGAAACCAGAGAGTTCTGTGATCCAGGGGCCAGGCGGGGCCTTCTTCTCCAGAAGACCCCCCTGACTGACCTTAGGTTTCAAGCTGGAATCCAGGGAGTTCTTCAAACTTTCCAGCAGAGGGACCCCTGGTCTCGTTTGTAAGCTCTCCTTTGGGTTCCTCCACCTCTAACCCCTTGCTTCCTGACCCTCAGGACAAGGACAGGGAATTGAGGAGACTACTATACCTTAGGCCGAGGAACCCCAGGAGCCATCCCATGCTCTCAGTCAGACATGGCATCGTGAGAGTTCACCACCCAGTCGCCGTGACCAAGGGAGGGCTGTGTGGCTCTCACAGAGGGGCCACAGTGACGGCAGGGACCCGGGAGAGGCAGCTGCCAAGGCCAGACCGCAGACAGGTCTCAGCAGAGGAAGAATGCGTGGCTGTCCAAGGTACAACACTGGCATGACCCCAGATGTATTGACAATTCACAGTGTCTCAGTCAGGCAGCTGTGGGCGTGTGTGAGGGTCGGGCCCTTGTGCCTCTGTGAGCATTACGGCAGTTAGCAAGAAGGTGCTGGCATTTGATGTGTGTCCCCGTAACTCTGCAGGCAAACTAATGCTGTGGGTTACTACTGACGCCGGTGTGGGGAACCCCACATCTAGAAGGAAATACCCATTGGTCCCAACCATGGTCACACATTGCTGTTTGCTGACAAGGCTGACCGACATGGAACTTTGACAACCTTTTCCACATTGCTCTCGGGAGTAAAACATTCACAATTCAGATGATCATTTTTAGGTAGATAGATAATAGATTAACTTGCTTGTAACTAACCACCTTCCACATACTTGATCAGTTTTTTAATACTTTAAATTTGAATTGAATTCATTAACCGATACATTGAAAACATAAAGGCTGAATTATTTTGTGGTTGTTCCTCGCTATAATTTAGATGGCTTAAGGAAAAATAGGTTCTCCTAAGGTCACTGTCTAACCATTATATGGCACCACTCACTTTTTAAATTTTTTATTGAATTTATTGGTACATTCAGGTATACCTTATGATCACATTCATCATTGAGAATTTGTACCTGTACACGAAACATCTTGATTTTTATTTTTTCCATTACCTGCCCTCCCTTCAACTCCTCCACTCCCTGTACACATAAGCTTTGTTTCCATTTTTTCCTTCTTTCATTTTTTCTTTCCCTTCTTGCCTTTCCCCTGCCCCCCTCCCCAGCTCCCCTTTCCCTTTAAATATTCTCTTCCTATTTCTCACTCACTTCTAATGTTTCTAGGCCCAGACTGTAGTACTCTGGTCGCAGCACATATCTTGGGGTGCTGTGCCTTCCACCACGTGTTCGAAGCAAACCACAAGTTGTTTTCTGTGAAATTCTCGGGACTTTTCAGCAACATCTTATGGGCTCACCTTGACCCCCGGGTGGTTGTGAAGGGTCAAACACAGAAGTTCTCTTTCGCAAGTCTAAGCAGGTCTCTAAGAGGGAGGAATCCTTTGCCTTCTCTGCTGCTCATCGACACTCAGTCCCTGCTCATTTGGGAGTTTGTAGGTAAAACAGTGTTAATGTATTTAAATCTCTTGGCTGGACTGGTTCCAGGGCAGGTCATAGCATTATGTTTTCATCATCTGCTGCTTTCATAATAACCTTTTTCACATTGAATATTCTATGTGCTTTTGTGTATTCTCTGCCATTGTGATCAGTTGATAACAGGAATAGTAATCTAATATTTATATCTTTAAGTACTAGGGAAATACCCCAGTTTCAATGGCTATTTACTGTTTGTATTTATTTTGTTTTTTTTTGTCACTTGACACTTCTTACTCATTTATATATGGGGGCTTTATTCTTACCTACTGTACAGTAAAGATATCTATACTACATCTCTCTACATTTTATTATTTTCTAATAACTGAGTTTTTAATTTCCTCTCTTCTTGCCCTGTATTTTTTTATATGATGATGCAAAACCCAATAAGGCTTTGTTTTCTGCCCTCTGCTTTCATAACATTAGTTGTTTGTATATTTTCCAGTAGAATATTTGGATAATTTAGTTTTTCATTTGTAATGAAAAACATATTTTGTTTTGATTGTTCTTGGCATCACAATGTAATCAAATTTAGGCTTCCTGCCTTTAATGTTACTTAAAGACAGTTATTAAAGCTGTATCAGATCTGAGGTTTGTGTTACACACAGAAGCCCACCTGGCCACCGTAGGACTTCAGGGTGGCAGTTCAGTCACAGGACAAAAGCATCCAGACTTCTGCACAAATGAGCTTTTTAGTTTTCTGGAACACAGCATGAATAGAAGATTTAGAGAGAATGAAAGCGACTGTCATCAATAAACTAAAGTCAAACAGGAAATACGAGCTCCGTGTGCCTGCTTACCATCCTGGGGACACCTCTTTCTCGCTGTCACTCGCGTTTGTCTTTGTCACGGCGACCAAAGACTGACCTTGGGCAGGTGGATGGGGGTCAGTCCCTCGCAGGTTCAGAAAGCGCCCCCCGGCCACGCACACGCTTGGTGAAGACCTAGCAGCGCGGCTGGTCGGGGGGTGGGCTGCAGTGTCCTGACAGCCAGCTGGGCTGAAGCTGGTCCCTTCAGTCCACCCGCGTTGCTCCAGTCTCTAAGTGGTGGCCTCGCAGCACTCCGGGAAGCAATCTCCAGAGAAGCGTGGATTGCGCTTGAGAGAAAGGATTGTTTGGACACAGATGCAGGTAAGATTATGGGCAAAGGTTATTTTTAATGAAGTTTACTGGTACAATTTAGATGTGCATAATGATCAGATTCATCTTAGGGAATTTGTACCTGCACATAATATATCTCGATTCTTCTTTTTCTCTCCTATTCCTCTCCCCTAATTTCGCCCCTCTTCCCCTCATTTACAAAGCTTTGTCTCCAATTTATCCTTTTTTCTTTTTTTCTTTTCCTTCTTTCCTTCCTCCCTTCCTTCCTTCCTTCCTCCTTTCTTTCCTTCTTTCCCTCCTCCCTTCCTCCCTTCTTTCCTTCTTTCCTTCCTTCCTTCCTTCCACCCACCCACCCTTGTTCCTTTTGAACACTGTCTTCCTATTTTACACTATCTATTATACATTCTGGACCTTATTTACACTTTCAGTTTTTCACACCAGAAAGACAGTGTGACATTTACACCTGTGTCAAATTTATTTCACTTAAGAGTGTGGCCTCCGGGTGCACCCATTTACCTCGAAATGGACAAAGGTTCTGAAGCAGGTAGTAACACCACCTACGCGTCCCGGACCTGAGGGGAGGCTCCCGGGGAGGGGCGGTGGCCAGGGCAACCCCTGCAGAGCTGCCAAAATACCACTAGGTGGCAGACAAATTCCACCATCACCACTCACCTGGGCCTTCAGGTTTACTCTGAGAGTGGAGGGTGAGATTGAGTTTCCTGACTGATTAGCGAGGGGCATCCGCGGGACAAGTAATGGCCTCCGGGAAGACTTTTCGTGTGTACCACCTGTGCGCGCTCGCGCGTCTTTCCACAAAACTTTCAGGCCAGTTGCAGTTCCTTCCCCTGGGGCCCCGTACCAAAGGCTGCCAAGGTATTTAAACATTTCAGAGTTTCCAGCGGGTTCCTTGTGCGTCCTAGGACGAATTCCTCCTTCTAAGGAGCATTGCCTAGGCTCCCATGTTCCGAGGAAGCCCCTCCCATGTCTCCCCCTTCATTTAGCCACTGTCACCTGTACAAGTCAGGGTTCCTGGTCCTTTAAAGCCTAGGTCTCCCTTCCCCATGACAGCCCTGGGCACTCTGCAGAGGACCCTTTCCAGTCCCCTGCTAGCATGTTTCTGAAACCCACGTCTGAATTGCTGGACACACCTGTGGACCAGAGGACTGACTGATGTCTCTTTGGACAGCTGTGTCTCAAACCTTACCTAAGAATACTAAGGTCTAATTTGGAGGAATCTTGAGAGGAGTAAAATTTGATTCCGCCTCCCTGACTTGTGAAGTTTCACTTTTGTTCAATGGAAATCTTACACAGCACCACCCACCACCCTCTGCATCTGTAACTGAATGGAGAACCACTCCTGGAAAGCAGCACCGTCACCACGCTTTTTACTATCCTGATAGTAATCCCGGCACTCAGGTCTACTCAGTGTGTGGGGTAGAACTTGGCACCCGCCTTCTGGGGGAAAATTAGAATGAAGACACACGTCCATGTTATGCCGAAAGTATATTTATATTTATATATAGATATATAGATATAGGTCTTTACTCTTCTGCAGACACTTTTTACTCATGAGTTATTTAAACAACCAAAGAACAGCTTATTACGAGTTTACATAAACTGTACCAGAATGACAGGGTTAGTTTGTCAGATTGATTCACAAAGCCAGCACAATTCTGATACCAGAACATAACGATCAGAACACAAAACAGAATCACAGGTCTCACTTAAAGATACAGGTGCCAGAATACCAAGAGAACAGTAGCCAGGTGAAATCAGGACCTAATGAAAATATACAAAGCTTTGGCAAGTACAAAAGCAGATTTAAAATTCAAACGTATGCACATACAGAGCTGGAACAAAAAACACCAGAAAGAAGAAGTCTCCCACACCCTGCTGGTGGCCTCTGGCCAGGGACCCAAAGGAACACAATTTCTGTAACACCTATAAGTGGGGAGGGGCACTGCTGGTGGGGTCATCACAATCGTCGCTGGCATCAGGCTCATCTGCATCTGAGTCTTCAGACTCAAACTCTGCCAGGGCCTCAAGGTAATGGAATGGCCAGCACTGAGGGTCTCTTTTGTGGAGTTTAGCCAAAAACCTCAGGACCAGGAACTTGCTGGTTTCCAGGAATGCTCGGGGGCCCCAGAGCAACTCGTATTCTGCTGGCTCGGTGCAAGGGACTCGCCTGTACTCTAGGTACCTGTGCCTCACAAACACGTCAGTGATGAGCTTCTTCATGTTTCCAAAGACAGCATTTGTCTCCCGGACATCCAACCCTAACCTGAACAGAAGACTGAAGATCAGATTCTCCCTGACACAATTGCCTTTCATAAAGATCAGACTCAAAACCACCATCAGGAGGCCAAACTTGGGCCTGTCTGTAAAAGGTGCCAAAAAGTCACAGCGATGGTGCCCCAGCTGGTTGATGACGACGTAGGAGTGGGCTTTGGCGTCAATTTCCTTCAACTGACAACCAAAGTTACACTCCAGCTTTCTGTTGGCGCGGCTGATGATATCTGAGCACTGATCTTCATACTCTCGGATGATGGCACTCACCATCTCTGAGCGCTGGATAGGCACCTTAACTTGATTCCTGACCAAGAGAAATTGCACCAGTGCATTTGCTCTCACATCTAAGGGACACAACTGCTGAGTCTCCCCTCTGGGATCCTCTTGGGTGGCCCTCAAGCTGTGAAAGAGACAGGGTACCTCAGAGGCGACGAGGGGCTGAGGGCTGTCTGAGCTTTCACAGTGACCCAGGCCCCTTGAGGTGCTTGGTCCCTCCCAGGTGCCCTGTGCCCAAGATGTGCTGGGCCCTTCCCAGCCACTCAGGACCCTGGACATGCTGGAACTCTCCCAGCCACTGGGGCCATAGGAAGTGCTAGGGTACCCCCAGTCCCCCAGAGCCTGGAGAGAACTTTGGATCTCCCAGTCACTCAGACTGGAACCCTCCCAGGGCTGTGAGCCATGCCAGTCTCGTGGGGCCATCCTGTGACCCCTGTTGTCTTCCTTGGGCTCTAGGTGCTTCTTCTTCCGGGTGACTTTGCCCGAGCGACGTGGTGGCTCCACAGTCTTGGAGGCCTCTGGAACGGTGGCAGTTGCCTGGGTAGCAGGTGCTGTAGCCATCAGGATCCTAGGCTCAGCCTTGGATGCATTTGAGACATTCCCATTAGGCTGTGGGGCCCACGGAGCTGCAGTCAGGGTCTCTACGCAGGCATATGGATCCTGCAGAGCTAATGGCAGTGCCTTTGGGCTCTCTGAGGTGGCAGATGGGCCTGTAAAGGCATTAGAAGAGGCAGGCTGAAAGTGGGAGGTAGATGGAAACACCCTCGAGGTGGCAGGAAAGGTGTATGATGTGCCAGGCAAGTTTTTCCAGGCATTTGGCAGGTGTGCTCTGGAAGCTGGCACTGCCCTCGGACCACAGAAGGTGCCTGCAAAGATCATGCGGTCCTTTGAAGGGCCCTTTTTCTCCTTTGTAGAGGTCCTGCGTTCTCTAGAAGGACCCTTATGTTCTGAAGAAGAGGCCCTGCCCTCTCCTGATGGAGTCATGAGTGATTTAGGCTGGCCCCTGGGAAAACTTGCCCCTGCTACTGGGGCTCCTGGCTGGGCCTGCAACATGGGGGGTGGCCCTTGCCAAGAAGGGTGGAGTTGCATCGTGGGCATTTCTGCCTGCGGGCCCATGGGCTGGGCCTGGTGGGGGTGTAGCTGAGTTTGCGGGCCTTTCTGGGAGGCCCAAACCCCCCGAAAGGGCTGCTGCTCCAGCTGGACGATCCTGGGGGGCTGCCCCTGGGTCTCCTGGGCAGGCAGAGGCTGCCAGAAGTGAGTGGGTGCCTTTGGTGTCTGCCAGGCCAGTGCCTGGGCCTGCTGTACCTCCTGAAATTCCATCGACGTCGGCAGCTCATGTGGCACCGGGGCTTGGCCTTTGGGGGCCTGCCAGATGATGGATGGGCAGTGCACAGCCTGCTGCGAAGCCTGTGGTACAGCTGAGGCAGCCTGTGGGCCAGGTAGCGGACCGGGCAGCGAGACAGACAGCGGGCCCGGCAGCACTGGCTGGGGCACCTGCGGGCCCGCGGGTGGCGCTGCAGGTACCTGCGTAACTATAGATGCTGTAGGCACCTGCGGCACCCCCTGCACCTGCGGGGCCAGCAGCCGAGCCTGCGGGGCCTGCCGCAGAGGAGGTGGGGGTGGCAGGGCTTGCCAGAGCTGTGGCTGGGTAGCCAGGATCTGCTGACCTGGCCGGATGAGTGGAGGTGCCTGGCGGGTCAGAGGTGGTGCCTGACGGGACACAGATGGTGCCTGGCGGGTCACAGGTTGCACCTGGCGGGTCACAGATGGGGCTTGGCGAGCCATTGGAGGGGGCCCAGGACGGATGGGTGGTGGGCCTGGGCGGATGGGCGGAGGACCCTGGCGCATGGGTGGTGGTGCCTGCCAGGCTATGGTGGGTGCTGGCCAAGTGACCTGTGTGGTCTGCCAGGTTAAGGGTGTGGCCTGCCAGGCTTGAGGCGGGGCCTGCCAGCCAGGTGAGGTGGCTTGCCAGCCTGGGGTTGTGGCCAGCTGCACCTGGTGGGTATGTGGCCCCTGGGAAACCTGTGGAGGTGCCCTTATGACCTGGGACTGGATTTGCAGGATCAGAGGTTGACCCTGGGGTGCCCAGGATGCCATAGGCTGAGCAGGGGGTGCCACTGGTTGAGCCATCAGTGCTCCTGAGACTGGAGGCTGGGTGATCGGAGCTCCTGAACCAGAAGGGTGCATCATCAGGACACTAGGACCTGGAGGCTTTGCCAGTGGGGCTGCAGAAGGTGGAGGCTGGGTCATCAAGGCAGCTGGAGGTAGAGGCTGGGGCATCGGAACTCCTGGAGCAGGCGGCTGGACCATCAGGACTCCTGGTGTCAGCGGCTGGGCCATCAGGACTCCCGGAGCTGGAGGCTGTGCCATCGGTGTCCCAGGCAGTGGAGGCTGCGCCATCGGGGTCCCCGGCGGTGGAGGATGTGCCATCGGGGTCCCCGGTGGAGGAGGATAGACT